ACCACGAGTATCTACTCGGAACGTAGAATTTTTCTACAATATTTAATTCAACTAAAATTAAATAATTAGCCATCAAAAAGTCAGTCAAAACCGGGTCAAACCCAAGTTTTACAACTGATTTTTCCAACAGTCATAACTAATTCAGGATCCACTCATCTGCCATCAAATGTCGTTATAGTCATTTCATTTACCGAGCTTGGCGTCTTCGAGCTGGTTGAATTTTCGTGAGTCGCTTCCAAAGTCAGTCTTCCAGTGAAAAAACCAGGTTGTTTGGGCCGAGTCAATACGGTTTCGTTGCTCAGCATTAGGACCACTGAGGACATGGTCGGCCGCTCTTCTGGGGATTCTTGGACGCATAGAAGACCGATTTGGATTGACCTCAGCACATTCGATGCGTAGCATCTATATTCGAAACCAAAACCAGCCAATTCTAGTGCCTTCTCTTCCTTGTATAGCATCCAAGCCTGTAAATTAAACTCAAAAATATACGTGACCACGAATTTGGAGTTGGGGTCTGTTTGATGAATTAACCTTTTGATACTCAGACGTGTACAATTTGTATACAGAAGCATTTGTTAAAGGGGATCGATATTTTGAAGAGTATAACTGGAAGTTGCATTACGTGAAGACTGCTAAACTTACATGCCCAAGGAGGTTGAGGCTGTGATCTCTATGAGAAAATCCCCTGTTCCTCTCGCCACTGATGATCTCTAGCACTAAAACACCGAAGCTAAACACGTCTGATTTCACAGAGAAGAGACCGTCTACTGCATATTCAGGTGACATATAGCCACTACGTGAAAAGTAGTAATGACAACAATCAGAATACTGAATTTTGAAGATCGAAAGTGTATCTAACATGCCAATGTATGATCAAGAAGCATACATACTATGTTCCCACAACTCGTTTTGTGTTGGCTCCGGTCTCGTTCCCTCCAAAAGCTCTGGCGAGTCCAAAATCTGATATCTTTGGGTTCATATCGGAATCAAGTAATATATTGCTGGCCTTGAGGTCTCTGTGGATTATCCTTAGACGTGAATCTTGATGTAGGTACATGAGTCCCCTTGCAATGCCGTTGATAATTTTGATGCGTGTAGGCCAATCTAGTTCCATGCTTTTCACCGGATCTGCCCAAACAAATTGGAATATATATAAATTTATTTTTAATGAATAAAATGTGAATCTACTTAAACCCGAATTCATTTTGTCTCAACAATTTGGGGTGAAGGACACGAGTCTTACCAAAAAGTATGAGGTCAAGACTTTTGTTGGTCAAATATTCGTAAACCAACATATATTCATCCCCATGAATGCAGCATCCAAGAAGCTTCACCAGATTCCGATGCTCGAGTTTTGCAGTACAGATTACTTCATTCATGAATTCGTCTACTCCTTGATGAGATGATGTTGACAGGCGTTTGACGGCTATTTCCCCCCCGTCATCTAGCAGTCCCTAGTATCAATTAAACGTACTTCATGTTGTGATTATTTCTAACTCAATTAAGCACGATATGCATATCATTTGTCACAAAATTTGCGTTCACTTGTCAGTCTTGACACAATATAAATGGACCAAAGGATAACCAGTTTGCGGAGAGTATACGACTAACGAACTTCATGTTGTTACCTTATAGACAGGTCCATATCCGCCCTCTCCGAGCTTATTATCGCTTGAAAAATTATCAGTAGCTTTTGTTAAAGTGGATAGGTCAAATAGTGGTAGGTCCAGTTTCTTGTTGCGACTTTGACTCAACTGACGATTCGGCCTCTTCCTTTTCCGACAAAAGTATATTATGCCCAGGCTTAGCAGTAGTAATCCAATAGCAATGGAAATTGTTACTATAAGTACTTCTCTTTTCCGTCCTCCCGAACCTGAGGAAATATTTAATCGATGGAGCTAAGACATTACATATTGTTCAATGCTAACTGGGATAGCTGAATCTTCAAAAATTTCTCTTCTGTTTCCATATTTTTACTCATCCTTCCATTAGATACAAAAAAATATCCATCCTTGAAGTGGAGCTGATTATAAATCAGTATGTTTACAATCCGAGTTCAAATGAAACACACACACACACACACACACACACACCTGTATCCAGAGATGGGATCCGTATGAAGAGGTCCTGAGCCCCACTGGAATACCGCCTGATATCATAAAGATCACCGAACCACAGGATGCAGCCGGTCCCGCCATCTCTAATATCCCGGCTCGCGTAGGCCGTGCAGCTGCAGTTTCCCACGCACGCCTCCCTGCATTCCACCAGGCTCATATTCCTGTTCATCCACGAAGAATTTGTGTCCGGCACTTTCAGGTCTGTAAACCTCACAAAATCACTCTTTCCATTGCAGCCTTCGGCCAGCTCCCCCCGCTCGCACCCCCCACCCCGTGGCTCGAACCCCGGCAAGCACTCGCACGACGGCACATCGATGATGGCGCACACCCCGTTGGGCCCGCAAAGCCCGTACCCGTCGCAGTAATCCTGTGGCACCGACCCGTAGAGACGCCACGACCCCTGCCCCCACACATATCTCTGCCGTGCACCAGCTGTATCATTTACGACAAGCCTCGATATGACCGACTTATTAACTGGCCACCACGTGTAGTAGTGCTCTTCCGGACCCGACGCAAACCGGAACCGGAACACGGTGTTGCTTCTCAGCTCGGGCCCGCCCCCAAACCTCATTCCGTTCCACGGGCCTGCTCGGTAGTACTTGGCCGTGCCCCTCCACAAGATCGACTGCGGCTGCACGTCAAGCTCCACCCCGAAGCTCAGCTCCCCAGGGGACGGGTCGTCAGGGCCCTTCCACGAGGATATTCGCCGGTTCAAGCCGCTCGTCGAGTCCCACCCGAGCTTCATCCCCGGCAGCAGCGTGTCTGTTGGGTAGTCGAAGCTCTGCCAGAGGTATTTGTCAGGGTTGTGACGATCTACGACCACGAGGTTGCCTGAGTCGAGGAGCCTGGCGACAGGGTCGTGAGCGGGCGTTGAGGTGTTGGTGGACCAGAGGGCGGCGTTGGTGTGATTGAGCAGAAGGAGGAGTCCGCCATGGAAGAGTGTGAGGGTGGCGGATGAGGTTTGTGGGATGGGATTGGCTCTGTTTGCTACCCACACGACGGTCTGGAGGGGGATGTTTCTGTACCATATGCCGATGTAGCGGTTGGTAGAGTTGCCGGGGCTGAAGAAGCCCAGCTCAAATGTGTCGCCGGATGAGATTAAAGTCTCGCCGTTGTCTCTGAGTATGTGGGAAGTATCTAAGGTGTCTGAGATTGCTGTGGTGAGCAACAAGGAAGTTGTTAGGACAAGAAAGAAGGAGATCAACTTTTTCATGGTTAATGGTGGATTTGTGGGCGTGTGGGGTGGAGAGGTCAGCAAAGGCAGAACAGAGCTATGGACAAATTATTATTAGGATTATTATGAGCGAGTTAAGTGCGAGACCTATGACTTGTATAATTCTTGACTAGGAAAATTGTTTTTTCCACGCTCATGGCTAGCCGCGGGTCCCCTTATTGTCTGGAGAGACTTTATCGATAATAAGATTTTTGGAGTAAGAGACCCAGCCAAATCCTTGACCCGGTCGACCCGAGTAATAACCCAACCAGATCAATTGTTTTGAAACCCGGCCTGGCAAGTCGACTCGGGGCCGGAACTATTTCGGATTAATTGTTTGATCCGGATAGCAGGGGAATCGGTCAAACCGACATTAAACTGGTAATTGACTTGTGTATTGACCCGACTGGGTAACTAGGTTTGACACGACTATTGAATATTTTTTTTTTACTTTTTTATTTTTAAAATTAAATTATGTGTGTGTGTATAAACATAGGGTCGCGCTCCCATGAAAATTGTGCTCACTGAAAGAAATAAGAATGAACCTAAATTCATTAAGGGTATTTTACACATTGACATTAGACCTTACCATTCACATCAGCATGCCACATTATTACCCATACACCTACCACACACAAAACACATGCGCACACACACACAAAACACACACGCACCAACAAATAACACACACAAACAGTCAAAGTGTCAAACACACTTATTACTCTCTCTCTCTCTCTATCTCTCTCTCTCCCATGTCTCCTCTCTCTGTGTCTCACATAATTGACACACAGTTACACACATTCACATATACAAATACACTCACTGGCCACACCTCCACCATTCACCAGCCCCGCGCAGCCATCGCTGGCCTTCTCCTGCTACCTTCGTCAGCCTGCCACTCACGGCAGCGCCTATACCACCCCGAATCTCGTCGGCATGCCTCATATCGCCCATCTCTCACCGACATCGTCGCCCCCGACTCTCGCCGCAGTTCTAGTCCTTGGCCGCCTCAGTCGCCGAAGATCGATGCCGTAGGACACCGAGGCTGCACGGCCTCATGGCGGCGCCGCTGCTGACCACTCAAATCTGCGCAGCCAAGGGCATCTTGTAGTCGCCCGTGAACGCCTCTGGCCACCGAGGTGAACTCGCCATGCGTCAGTAGACTAGCACCATCTACCGCCGCCACTGGGCGGACTCAAATACTTTCTAGAAATTATAGATTTGACCCATGGGTTAAATTAAAATATAACTAAATTATTAAATTTGCAAATAAACCCTTAAACATAATCTCCTTCTCAAACTAAATCCCTCCCTCAATCCATCACTCTCGTCGCCGGTATCACCACTATCACTCCCGCCGGCGAGGGCACAAGATTCCGGCGCAGGCGGACCATTCGGCGAGGCACTGTTCGAAGCTTTCCACCGACTCTAATATCTCCGGCGGCTGAATGTGTTCAACAACATTGAAGTCGGCGGGAGTCGTCTCAGTCATCCCTTTTAATATATCCGCCATACAACTCCACAGCAACTCCGTCATCTCAGTCACCTCCTCCACCATCTCAGCGACGTACGGGCTCCAGTTGGCGTCTTCATGGACAACCTCCTCCTCAACGACCTCATCATTGTCTCGATTCCGGCGAGCATAGATATGTCGAGGGAGACGGCTAGCGACGGAGTAAACCGACGAGGCGATGCGGTTGTATTCTCCAGCAGATGTGCAGTCCGACGAACTCCATTTATGCAGTCCAATGGTCGCTGAAAACCGCCATGGAAGAGCGGCGGTCGGCGGCTCTCTGTTTAGGAGTCTGGATGGAGGTTTGTCGGAGCCAGCGTGGAGGTCGGGCGCTCCGGCAAGGAGATCCGATGGTTCCGCCATTACTCTGTGTGTGTGAGAGAGAGAGAGAGTTTGTGTGTGTGTAAATTAATTATGCAGTGTGTGTGTAAAATAATTGTTCTGCGTGTGTGTGTTTGATAATGTGTGTATGTGTGTGCGACGTGCGTGTGTGCATGTGTTAGGTGAAATTGGTGCGTGTGGTGTCGGGTGTGTGTTTAGTGTGTAAAGGTGGTGACGTGGCAGATTTTAGTGTGCGTGTAGGAGAGAGAGGGGAAGAGAGATATGAGTGTGTTAGGAGACGTTGCAGTTGGTGAGACATTGGTCCCACTGTTTATGTATGAAAAATCTACATTACCCTTAATGAGACTATAATTTTGACTTTTTTTTAGCCATTAGCTCATACGATCTAATGGTTACGATCTATTCTCATTTCTTTCACTAAGCACTATTTTCATTTAAAAATGGTTCATATATATATAGAGTTGGGATCATATGAGAATGGTGCTCTAGGAAAGAAATAAGAATGAATCTGAACCATTGGATAAATCATATCAATGAACATGATTGAGTCAAAATTTAATAAATAACAGTCAAACATTAATGACAATATTGTAAATTAACATACATATAAAGGTCAAATAATACAAGTGAATATTAAATAGGGATAAAATAGTCCTTACATTCAATTCACCCACCACCCTCGGGCCCCACCCCCATCTCACCCCACTCCAGTTCTTCTTCTCTCACACAACACACACAAACACACACAATACACACACTCAGCCATACCCAGTTACACACATTCAGCCCCGCCATCCCCCTCCATGTCGCTGCTACTACCAAAACACCGTTGTCGCCACCACTACCATCCATTCGAACGCCGTCAGCCATCCTCAGACCCGCCCTCCCCCTCCACTCCACCCGGACATGCCGGAATCAACCCAACAAAAACCACCTGTCACCATCATTAACAACTACCGGATCTGCCGCCTACCACCACTAGTCTCGCCACCGCCAAGTTCCGTCACCACCGCAGCCAACAACCACAAGCCCCGCCACCAACCACCACCAGCCCCACCACCAACCTTTACCAGATCCGCCGCCAACCACCACTAGTCTCCCTACAAACCACCACGAGCCCCATCGCCGACAACAACAGCCATCAGCTCTAACACGGACACCAACCACCACCAGCCCCGCAATCACATCGTCGTCCATCACCCTCTGCGTGTCGCCGATTGAGTCCAGCTACCTAAGTTCCAGTCGAAGCGATCCGGCGGTGGAATCGTGCACATCCGGCAAGTGCACAATCGTTTCGACGACGGCGATCTGAAGGGAGAAGGGAGGTGATGGCCGGAACTTTTTTTTCCTCGGGTTGCAGAGAAACGACTTCATGTGGTGTGCGTGTTCCTGATGAAATCAATTTAGGGTGAAATAGATTTTGGGATGAAATAGATTTTGGGGGTTGTTTATTAAAATTTGGTTAATGATTGGGCCTAACTTAAAATTCTTTTAATTTTTAATTATAATACAAATTAATTAGTGGTTTAAATACTTTATAATTTTCAAAAACAGTAAATGCACAATATCAACTAATAAAATGCACGGCAACAATATACGGAATGCACATATTGTGTGACGATATGCACGTTAAAAAATATATCATATTATTATGAAATTGTACAATTATCATTGCCTAGACATTTAGAATTTAAAAGTTTAACAATTAGCTCATATTATACAAAAATGTCAAAATTGAGTGTTCGAGTTGAGCATTTAATTAAAAAAAAAAAATTGAATGATTTATTTTGTAATTAGGTCTACGGTGCATTCTTGCACTCAATAATGTGCAATTTGTATAGAGCTATTGTGCATTCGTACTGCATACATATTTTAAAGATTTGTGCCAAATATTAGAAATTAGAAAAATTATGGTGTGAGTAATTACAATTTACAGATATTTCGATCTGAATCATAGTAAAAGTTCAAGTATCAGAAATTTGAATTCACTCACCTCGTTTAGAACTTTATTGCACGTATAAATTGTTGTTTTTGAACTTTTTCTTACCCTAAACTTCAATTCATAAGCCATCACTAGTAATTTATAGTTTTCAAATATAAATAATAAATTAAGTATTTTTTTTTTGTTGATATCGATAATGTGCATTTTCATGTGCACTAATGTGCATTTTGTCTAACACTATTGTGCAATCTATTATGCGTGTATATTTTTGTGTATTTTATTTCATATTATATATTACTATTTGTTGAAAATAAATATTACATATGTAGATAGATAAATAAAAAATGAAAAAAATATTTTTTTTCAATCGGTTCTCTTAGTTTGTATTTAAATAAAGTCAAAATCGGATCGAAATAAATAAAATATTAACATTTGTGAAACTGCACATTGTTATGCTAATGTGCATTATCGAACTCATTAATGTGCATTCGGTCTACCAATATTGTGCAATCTGATAGTCACTAACATGCGTGCATTTTGCATATGAAATTTTTTATGTACACAAATGATATATTTTATTGTTTATATTAAAAATATATATTTATTATTTAATATTTATTTATTATTATATATATTTTTATATTAATTTAATGTCATATATTATTTTATTAAACATTATTATTTATTATTTAATATATATATGTATAAAAATATATAATGACAATGTTCTTTTATAAATTCCATAAATAAAAGATTTAACCCATGGGCTAAATTAACATATAATAAAATTTTTCAAAATTGCAATTAGACCCATAAGCACTATCAAATTTTCAAAATGAAGCCCCTCACACCCAACATGTCGTCCCTTTGTCCTGGCCACTTTAGCATCTGTATTCTCCGCCGTGAACCGCCGGAATTAGCTGACGTGACATTAGCCGCCGACAACGGCTTCGAAGCTGCTGAAATCGGTCGAAAAACATGTCGGTGCGCATGTTTATCGGTTGAAGCTTCGTCCAAATCGGTCATCGTCGGCGACTGACAAAGGCAGAGCCTCCGCGAGCGGCGCCGGAGGCTGAAATCCCTACCATTGCTTAGCGTCGGCTCTGAATTAACAGGCGAACGTGAGGCGGTGGAAGCAGGGGACGTCGGTATCGCCGGCGAGACAGGCGGGAGGCGAGGTTACCGGCAGGCGCGATGTGAGCG